GGAGCGGGGCCGCCATGAGGTACGGGCGCGGGCCGGGGGCGGCGGGGAGGCCTTGTGTGCTCGCGTGGGGTTGCGTGACGAGGGGGTGGTGAGGGCAGGAGGTCTGAGGTGAGGTTTTGGGGAGAGTTGTGGCGTGTTGGGAGCAGGACGTGTGGGGTGACGAGGGAGGCCTGCAGGGAGAAGGGGCAGGGGTCACGGGCTCCGGCGTGCTGGCTCCGAGGTGTGGGGGGTGGATGGCAGGGCGGGCGATGGGGAGTAGGGCGGTGGGGTGATGGGGGAGCTGTGGGTGCGCTGTGAGTGATGGGGTGTGAGGGCTGCCGGGGTGACGTGCAGGGTCGGGAGGTGCCTCGGGCAGGAGCTGCACGGTACAGCAAGGGAAGAGCCATGGGGCGCGATGGGCCGGTGGGCTGAAGCTCTAGAGGGGAGTGCCAGTGTGATCGGGGACATGGCGCTGGGATGGAAAGGAGTTGTGGAGCACTTAGAGAAGAATCATGGATGTGGGGCAGAGGATGTGAAGGTGAAGTTCATTTAAGAATAGGAAGAGCATATTAGGGATGTATGTGGAGCGATAAGAGGTATCAGGGAAGATAAGTGGTGGATGCTAATATGGGAGTGGTGGAGCCTACTATGGGATGGCCCAAGGAGCTGGGGTGGAGGGAGAGCAGGGTCTTGGGTATGGAGGCAGGGCAGCATTGGGGCTGAGGTGGAGGAGGGAGACGCGGGGAGGAGCAGAGGAAGGAAGCGTCGGCCGGAGCACTGGGACTGCCCTGGGGTCCCTGTGGGGTTGGCTCAGAGGGTGTTTGGGAAGGTTGGTGCTTCCAGGGACCCCCTGGCCCTCGCTGTCTCTGGCAAGCAGAGCCAGTGCAGCCTCTTCTCAGTGCAGATCTTGGCAAGGAAAACCCCAAGTATTGCTGAAAACCTTGCTGGGTTGCGGGCGGCTGTGGGCGAGTGACGCCTGCAGACCCGGCAGCCTCCCCGCACGCTGTGGCGTGTCCCTGGCGTCACGGCCCGTACAGGCGCCCCAAACGTGCGAGAGCTGCTTCCCAGTCCCCATTCTCCTCCTCCTCCTCCTCCTGCCTCCCCCAGGCTGCGGGGGCCATGCACGCACCCTGTGTCACCAGCACCTTGGGCTCCTCCGCTGGCAGCGGTGACGGGAGCGGGGGTGGAAACGGGGGGAGCCTGGGGGAGACACACATGTGTGGCTGCAGCATCCTCGCCCTCCTCGCGGTTACCCTGGCAACCTCCCGTCCACGGGTATTTATAGCGAGGCGGGCGAAGGAACGGCGCTTCCCTGGCGGGCAGCGGCGGGAGGCATCGGGATCCGCCGGGCGGCTGCTGAGCACGGCCTCCCGCCTCGGGCATCCCCCAGCTCCGTGGGCTGAGCGGATGCTACTCCCGTGCTGTCAGTGCGAGCGGTGAGCCTGCTTTCCCGCTCGTCGGAGGTGCTGGAGCTCATGAAGGCCCTTAGGAATTTGCTTGTGGAAATAAAGTGAGGATCTGGGATGTCCTCCTTTCTCACATGGACACAGAGATTGGCATCTGTCATGCTTTTAGGCTTCTGTAGACCTAGTTTATTGTTGCACTGGAATAAACAGTCTCTGAGCTCTGATATGGTGTGCATCAGTCCTCTTTTTTGAAAAAAAAAATTAAAAATAAAAATCTTCCTAAACTGATCACTGTGCCCAATGTACCATATGGGCTGTAGAACCTGTGACAGTGACAAATCTGATCTTGAAAGCCCAGTGTTATTTCTGTGACTCAGTATTGCTGCCTGTCAAATGGGGGGGATGTGGTGTCACTGCCTGTAATAACCCATGGCACAAAATGTTTACGTTATGGAAACTAAGGCAATTTTCCATGCAGTGCATTGGGTTGTGTAGGCTTTGCTTTCTGAATAAAAGCTGATCACGGAGGACGCAGGTCAGGGAGTCTCTGCTGATGAATGAGACAGTGCAGAGGGAGTGGCGGCGCACGGATCCTGGAGGCCTTGTAAAGTGCTCGCGGCTTGTGATTTCTAACACAAAGGAAAGCGCACACACCTTTCTAGCCTGCACTGTGGGGTCTAGGAGATGCCCGATTGGATTTCTGCAGTTCTATTGCTCTGCTGATCTCCCCTGCTTCTGCTTCAGTTCCAGCCCGAGTTTTTCCATCTGAGTTTCACAAAGTGTTGCTGGTTCTGGAAGCTGCCCGCCATGCAGCTCCACGCTTGCTCCGCCTCTTGTCATTCTTGGTGCAGGAACCTCAGAAGCTGTGGGAAACTTCGGTTTTGCAGTGAGAAATGCTAGTTTTTATCAGAAACAATCTGTTGGTGAGGATAGAGATCACCTGTGTTGGTGACAGTGCTCCAGCCCTTCCGTGTGCCTGCATTGTTCCCTTTTAATTTGTTGGAAGCAATCTTCTAATGCTGCTGACCTCGGGAATGGCCTTATGCTGCCACTGACCCCACTTCAGCTGAGCTAACTAAAGTGCTTTTGGGTGGAGACTGAATCTCCAAAGTCTTGGGTCTTAGGTCATTATGTGTTTTAGTTCCCACTGTTACTAACTGCCTTTGCTCCTTCAGTCGGTGTAAATTCCCTGTAGGAGTTTGGTCCTATCACCTGTGTTTTGTGCCCATTTTGACTTTTGTCACAGGTGCCCTGTGAAGGTGAGGGCAGCTGTATTTGGCCAGCGTCTGATCTGTGGGTGTAAAAGGGAAGGGGACTTTCTATTCATATGTTCAGCTCAGTGTTAGAGCATGATGAAAAGACAAAGTACAAAAAACAAGCTAAAAAATCCTCCTATGAGCAGCGAAGAAGATACTCTGCCTCTGCAAAAGTTAGTTTTCATTCCTGTGCATCTTAGTTTAGTTTTTGGAGGGCAAAGGTGCTGCTCCAGCAGGAAAACTGCCTTCTCGGTTGTGTGGGCAGCTCCTGTGTTACTGCTGCTGCTCTTGGCTTGGCCAAGTGTCTTCAGGAGAGGTGTGTGCCCTTTCCTTCACGCTGCGTGGTGCACCGTGTGCCAAGCAGCGGGGAAGGGGATGGTGCGGCCGTGTTGACTGCACACTGTGGGTGGGAGTTGCAGGAGGGAGAGCGTGACTGTGAAGTGTGAAGTGGATCTAAAACAAGCTGACTGCTTCACCTGTATCCGTCAGCCTCTTTTGGAGGGAAGGGCAGCAGACTGTTCCCTGCAGTTTCTGACACATAGGCTGGATCTTCTGATGAGACACCGGGTTTCTCTTTGGTCAGTTCTTCCCTTTATAGTTAGGGTGTCTCTTGGCACTTTGACGTCTTGGGCAGGCCAAGCAGAGGAAAGATATGATGCCACATGCTCCTTCTACACTCAGCTCAGCATCCCTGCTCACTGTTCTTGTTCATCTCTTTGTTGGGTCGAGATGTCTCACTGGCTCTTTGAGTGGTCTCCAAATCCAGTGAAGGGAAATCTCTCCCTTTTGTTCCCTTTTTGTCCCCTGTTGGTTGTGTTGGAGTTTCTGTCTCTTAGAGAAGCTGGTACTTTCTGTGGCCTCGAAGAAGTGCTTGGCAGGTTGCAAGTTTGGCCTGACTTTCCCTTCTATCCCCCTTTCCTCCGTGGGCTGCAGATAGGGAGTGAGGAGCAAATGGCTTCTGGCTAGTTGTTCACCTGAGGACACTGCAGCTTTGGCAGGAGTCTGGAAATATGAACCACAGAAGGCCAATAATGGCAAAACCTCTTGTTGAATCTCTGTTTCCTGTGCATCATGAGGGTACTCCTGTAACAAACCTGTCTCCTACTGCGGGGGCCTTGGGGGTACTTCTGCACTCCTCCTGGCACGGGCCTGGAAATTCAGCGTACGTGGGCCACGTCCAAGCAGCTTCCTGAGAGGTGCTTTTAACTTAGAGCGCTGTGATGTGGGCTGCTCTCTGAGAGCTGTGGGTACCATGGGCAACCTGGGGAGATGGATGGAGTCCTTGGCTCTCAGGAAAGGTAGCGCTTGCCAGAGAACAGCCATGGGTGCACCAGGCAGCACCCTGCTTTCTGCATGGTTTGGAGCCTGCGTGTTGGAGGGCCTGGGCTTCAGGGGCTGCTGGGCTGAGGTGTGAGCTCTCGGTGACTCTTCTATTTTCTTCCCTGCAGGTAGGTGGGAGCCCACAGTGGCCGAGTGAGGCAGCATGGCAAGTAAGTGTCCCCACTGAAGGCAGAGAGGTGGCAGTGGTGCCACACGGGAGAAGGGGAGTGTTTTGCAGCCGCCTCTGGAGGAAGGGGCACCTGGGTCTGTGCTTTCTGGGAGGAGTGGGTCTTTATTCTCCATGGGGGCAGATGCCAGTGGCTGCTGTCCTTGGACAAGGTGTGGGATCCAGCTGGGCTTGTGCTTCTCTCTCCCCTGTGCAAAGTGGAAGCGAGAGGTGGTGCTGAAGCACTGACCTCTCCAGGACTCCCCGTATGTGGCAGTGTTTCTTTGTATGAGCCTTGTGCAAAGCGTGGCTCCCTGAGCTCTTTGGACTGGCCCCGCTGCGGGGGTTGTCGCTCTGCTCAGGGACTTCCTAACTAACAACAGTGTTCCTCATGGAGATGGCCAAGGAGCTGCATCCAATGCAATTCCTAGCCCAGGGCCAGGCTGTCCTGTGGTGTGTACAGCTTCCAGTGCTCGCTCGGGCTCTATGTTGCTGCGTAACAGCTCTGGTTCCTGGCACCTGAGCAAGGGCCTGGCAGCTGGCCGCTTGGGACTGGCCTGGCTAAAGCTGGGCTGAGGTGCAAGGGAGCAGGGTGGAAAGTGGCGTGTGGTCTGTAAAGAGCTGGACTGAACCTTCCCTCCTCGCTCTCCTGGGCAGCCGGCACGGCGGCTGCACGCAGCTGTGTGATGGGAACGCAAGGAAGATGGTGGTTCTCAACTGCCTGGAGGATGGTGAGCAGGACAGGGAGGTACTATAGATCTGGGATCTCCGAATCTGCTTGGGATATCACCGGAGCTGGCTGTGAAGGCGGAGGCAAGAGGCATGCTGGGCAGGAGGAGCACTCAAGGGGCAACAGGTACGTGTTCTTCTATCATTCGTGCTGTGCCACCTCGGGGAGGAAGCAGGGGTCTTCAGATGAGGCTGTTTGAGACTCTGACACAAATTAATGTTTTTAAAACACAATTTTAATCCTCTGTTAATGGAGCTGCTAGGTCCCTAGGTCTCCCGCTGCTGCATTTTCTCCCTCCTGGAGCTTTGCTCTCTGGCAACTGCTCAGCATACCTTGCTACCTGTGGGAGTTGCCCCACGTAGTGCAGTCCTTTGGGCCATTGAGCTGTCCCTTTGGCTTCGCGGGTCACCCACTCCTGCTCTCCCACAGCGCCTGCCTTGGAGCCCTGGCTGCCTCTTTCCAGACACAGTTGCATGTCGCTCTGATGAGAAGAGGCCCTTGGAGTGTTTTTGGATGCCAGCAGAACAGCTGTGGGGTGGCCCTGCCACCAGGGGCCAGCAGCATCTTAGCAAATGTAACAAGTATGGCAGTGAACCCAGAGCTTGGCTCTTGTTCCTCCTGCCTAAAGCTCTGACCTTTCCTGCACACCTTTCCAGTGCTCTAGCTGGTGCAGGGAGATTTGGAGAGGCACAAGGAGTCACGGCTGGGCTGTGGGAAGACTCTCCTCTGCCCGCTGGTCTGAGGACAGTACTTGCTCCTGCGCAGCTGCCCTCCTGTGCATTGAGGGTGCCCGTCAGGAGACAGGAGTTTGCAAAGCTCTTGGTTACTAAGGTCATTGAGGTTCCTTCTCTGCTCCACAGGCAGGTGAGAACTCCGCACTTTCTCTCCATGCGGAAGAGGGGAGGAAGGAAGAGGGTAGCTTAGTTGCCTACTGTCCCAGCACTTCTAGATCCCCACGGGAGGTTGGGTGTGGGGAGAGGCACAAACCTCTCTCCCAATATGCTCTCAGTTGGTACGTTGCTCTTGATATGTGCCTGTTTTTATCTCCCATCGCAGTGGCCACTTCAACATGGCAAAGAAGGGAATGGGACAAGTGACTGGTACCTGCAGGGATGGAAAACCCTATGACGTGCAGCCTTACCCGGTGCTCCAAGATGTACCGAGGGAGCTGGCAAGAGGCTCAGGCTGAAGCACTGAGGAGAGGAGAGCTGATACCGCAGCCTGATGAAGGCAAAGGAGTGGAGGACAGCCTTCTCCAGTGACAGATATTTGCAGAATATCTGTGATACCATTTGCAGATGGTATTTTTGTGGAATCTCTTCAGGAAAGGCTCAAGAGATGGCCTGAAAACCCATTCCTTGTCAAGCTGTTGCAGCCCTGCTCAACTGGGAAAGCTGAGGCAAGCTGATCACTACCTTCCTGTGAGGCACCTCCTTTGCTTCTCGCAAATACTTTTTTTTTTTTTTTTTGAGACACCTTCTGTGCCTTTTGAAAACACTTCTTTTTTCATTTGCCTATGTTTAAAAAAGAAAAAAAGGGTTTGCATAATAAAGTCAGTTCTGAGGGAAAGTCTCTGACTCACATCATTCATGCTGTTCTTCATTCACACCTCAGTGGCTCAGCCCTCCACAGACTCTCTCTCGGAAGCAAGCCATTAATAAATCACAGGGGAAAAACATTCCCACGCAGCACCAAAAAAAGCCTCTGCGCAGAGGATGGCGTCGTCTGCAGTAGCTGCTTACGACCTCGGCCTTGTCCCTGCCTTTGCATTTGCACATATTCTCAGAAAGGCTTTGCTGTATTGTGTTAGGAGCTGGGTAATTTCAAGTTAAGCAGAAATAAACCTGTCACAGTCTGTTTAAAAAGCTCCTAATAACAGAAGTAACTTTTTACTGATATGTTTGATCCTTTACCAAGCTCCTTACTGAAAGAGCATTTTTAGCATCACAGCTAAGCTGGTCTAAGAGGGAAGTCCAGTTGTCCCTTTGCTGCCTCATCCTGAATCTGTTGATGTTGCCACAGTGTGAGTTGGTTCATCTGGTTGATCCAGTTGAAGATTAAGCCCTAAAAAGCTCAGTGTGGCTTCCTGCCTGCATGCTCCGCCGTGGAATATCGCTGCCTGGCATGGGCGAGGTAGAGCCTGCCTGGCTCTGGGAGCATCTGCAGGGCCTCTATGCCACAGGCCCATAGGGACGCACATGTGAAGCCATTTGATAAAACATTTCTGGGGCCGATTTCTGTGTTTTACTCTTGGTCCCCTATGTGGTCCCTGTGTTTTGGAGGTGTTTGCGCTTGTTGGACTGGGGGAAAGGCAACCAGTTCCTCTGGGAGCTGTGCAGAATTTACAAGCTTGCATGACCTTGAAGCAGCTTCCAGCCTGGACACCAGTTACCAGCACATGGTCTGTTCTCCTCATATGGTGATCAGGAGGACCTGCTTGTCCTGAAACAAGGATTTGGTGGACAGACAATATCCCCAAGTTATTGGTGGTATTGCTTGGTCCTGGCTCTGGTGGCTGGCTTCTGGGCCCAGGGCAACTGCCTTGTGCCCTCCTAACGGCTTTGCTGAAGATCTGCTTGGCCTCTGGGCTACTCTGGGAGGTGATGCTAAGTGCTTGAGGGGCTGAGGAGGTGGCCTCTTCTGCCTGTGTCCTTGGAGAATGCTAGAAGGCTTCCTTGAGCCTGTGCAAGCAGCTCATCTGCTGCGTGTGCTCTGGCCTGTTGAGCTGGGGGCTCAGTGTCCCCTTGCTGGGAGCTCTCCTGTCCCTAGGCTGGCACCTCCCTGGCGCTGAATCAACTCATGTATGACCATGTCCCAGCAAGGTGCTGGCTGCACCTTGCCGGATCTTGGCTCTTCTGCTTTGAGGTGCCTCTGTTCACCTCCAGCATCGAGGGGACTGAGTGGGCCTGAAGGGGGACTGTGAAATGCTGTGCAATAAACCGTGCATTGGTTGACTGAGGTGACAAACTGCACTGGCTTCGATGCTGGCCCTCTGTCATGGTACATAGGCCTGGCTGCACACCCCAGCACTGCAGGATCTCAGTTGCCCTCCAGCAAGGAGGGCTGAAAACCTGTCAAGGGCAGAAAGCAAGTCTTGTAAGAGCCTTCTCTCTCTTCTGAAGTCGTCTTGTGTCCTCCAAACCTGTCATTTCCTATGTTTCTAGCATCTCCGGCCTGGCGAAACGGTATTTCTGGCGCTTGGAGTCTCCAGGCAGACCCCAAGAGGCCTGTTCCACTTTGGACCTGCTCTCCCTTGATGGGCTTTCCTTGCTGTGCTGGGAGTTTGGGTGAATTGCAACCCTCGGCTATTTGCTGTCTTTGGTGCCTATTCCTAGTCTGTGTAACCAAAATTCTGTTGGGGAAAGCCTGACTGGGCACAGGTGAGCACCAGATTGTCTCTGTTCAGCATCTCTCTGCTTTGTGTGTTGCAGTGTTCCTTGGGGCCAGGAATGACCACTCGCTCCTGAAGCGTTTTCCCCGAGCCAATGGCTTCCTGGAGGAGATACGACAGGGCACCATTGAGCGGGAGTGCATCGAGGAGGTCTGCAGTTATGAGGAGGTCAAGGAAGTGTTCGAGAACAAAGAGAAGACGGTAGGTGTGTCCCAACCCACTCCCCAATGGAAGTGTGAAGCACTTGCAACTTAGCAAGCTGGGGCACAGGAGAAAAGCACAGGAGGGAATGGTCTTTCCTGTGCTCTTCTTCTGAAGACAGCATGCCGTGGCCTTGCTTCCCTTTCCAGGCAATGCCTTCAGCTTTGCCAGCATCAGGGCACCCTGCTTACAGCTACAGGTCAAGTTGGCACCCAAATGGCACATGTAAGACATTCCTGTCCCCAGGAACTGCTGTCCCCAGTTCTCCAGACTGGGGCTGGTATTAGCCAAACTGCTGTCTCCATGGCATGAGCGCTGTTCGCCGCTGTGGAGGTGTGTTCATATGATATTTTGTGCTGGTTGCTACAGATATTGGCAGAATTATTGAAGGGTGGTAGGGAACAGCCAAATGACTCTGCTTCCTTTGTGGGTCCTGATATGGCAGTGTTTGTCACTGGCGCTGGTGGTAGGTGGTGCTTGTCTCACGGGCAAGCACACGATGGTTGCTTCTCTGTTTCTTCCACAGATGGAGTTCTGGAAAGGCTACACCAACTCTGTCTACTCGGTCAAGGACCCTGGACACAGCACAGAGCATTCAGACGCTATGTACGTGGTGGTCCCGCTCTTGGGAGTGGCTCTTTTGATAGTCATCGCCCTCTTCATCATCTGGAGGTGCCAGCTTCAAAAGGCCACCCGCCACCGTCCTTCCTATGCCCAGAACCGCTACTTGGCCAGCCGAACGGGGCGCAGCCTCCCCAGGGTCATGGTGTACCGGGAACGGTCACAGAGCCAAGGGGAAACGCAGTATCAGCGAGAGGCGAGCAACCGGGTGGTTGGAGATGGCAGAGCAGGGGGCCCTCCCCAGCAAGACGGCACCCTCTACCCGCCAGAGCATTCAGTCTCTGTCCTCTCCAGACTGTCCAGTGCCACCCCTCCGCCTTCCTACGAGGAGGTGACAGGGCACCCGGAGAGCAGCAGTGGGGAAGAGACCAGCGTCTCCTACAATGACCCGCCACCCAAGTATGAGGAGATCGTGGCCGCTGCCCCTGCTGTGGGCAAATAGCGGGTCTGATGCCTCCCTCCTGCCACTTTACTCTCACGCTCACACCCGCACCCATCCCTCACCATGCCTGGGACCCTCTTCCTGTGCCAATCGGCATCCCGTCTCACTCGTACAAGCTGGTGCCATCACAGAATAGCCTTACCCACCTTACCAAAAACAACTATCCCAAAGTGGGGTGGGGATGGGAACGGGAATGACTCTGGGGTCCAGCCAGGCATCCCCTTCCCCCTGCTCTCCACACACGTAAGTGCTGTAGTAGCCAGAGCAAAGTGGCAGCTTGTTACTGGCTCAATGCGGGGGTCTCCCCATGGTGCATTTGATTTCCTTCCCTTCAAAAAGACATGACATTTCCCATGATGAAAACAGCCTGGAGCTCTGTGGAGCCCTGCTGGGTGCACACACCAGCTCATGGGCCTCAGGCACCCATGGGACAGGTGTTGGGACAGAAGGGGTCTTTGGGATTGCTCCTTTCCATACCCCATTTGACTGGAGCTGATTCATAATGTGCTGAGACCTCAGCCCTCACCAGACCCTGTTTTGCTGCTCAGGGCTGTGATTAGGAGTTGGGAGGTGCAGGAGCGGTGCTGTGAATTTCTTTCTGTTCTGACAGTCACTGTCCACACTTTGCATTCAGGGAAGAAAGTTCCCCTTCATGTGCCAGTTATCTGCTAGGTGGGAATGGGTTGCTTGGTCTGCCCTGTGTTGCCTGTGGTCATCTTGCTTATTTGGAGAACAGGGAGAAGCAGCTTGGGAAGTGTTTTGTGATCTAGATCCTTCTTGAAAGGAGAGCAGGCTGGTGTCCGTGAGGTAAGTCACTTGGGAACAGCCTCCCAGCAGGTCCTCTCCTGATGGCATCTGCTTTCCTGCTGCAGGGTGCCAAGGGCCAGCATGTGCCGGGAGCAGAGGGCCGTTTGTGGTGGAGCTGGCTTGAAGGTTGTTCTCTGACCTGCAGCCAAAGGTGGTGCTTTGGCTTTATACAGCAGGGATACTCCTCTCCTGGGAGCCAGCTGGCCTGCTGGCCGCCCGGAGGTGGGATGCAGGTAGAGGCTGCTCTTGTGGCCCATCCTGTGCAGGCCCCCATCCCAGCTGTTCTCTCACTGTCTCCTTCAGACAGGGGAATGTGGATGGACCCTCTCTGCATGAAGAGAATGAAAATGCCCCCTTCTACTCCACACCTCTGTCCTGCCTAGCCCTCTTTTCAAAGCTTTTCATCACGCAGAGCAGGGAAGGGAGGTTGTGGAACCCTGCTGTCCTCCAAGACCCTGTGGTGGGCTTGGTGGCCGTGGCCATTCGCTGGGCAGGTGAGGTAGTGTCTTTGGCTGCCAACCCAGCTGCTGTATTACAACTAGGAAAGCTGCTGGCACTGGGTCTGGTCTAGCGGGACTGTCCCCTCCAACCTTTTCCCTCTGCCCCTCCCCGTGCTGGGTGTGGCTGCAGCTCACTGGCTCTGACATCTGCCTCAGGTTCCTCATAAGTAAGGACAGACCCTACTCAGGCCTTTGGTTTCCTCTTACTGAAGGGCAGTCCAAAAAGATCTTGTGTAGGGGAATGTGAGGGTGTTTGGAACATTTCTAGTCTTACGGGTTTGAGAGATCCCTCAGTCACCTGTGAGCATGTGGGGAGATCTCATAGTGCACACGGGAGAGCTGCATGGGAGCATGGCAGATTGTGCTGGGGCTCAGGCTAATGGGGCAAAGCAAGGCCAGGTGTGCACACAACAGACCCATTAACCACAAGGTCTGCAACTCCTGAGCCTGAGCCCAAAGCACCTCTCCCTGTGACTTTTATCTCTCCAACTGCAAGGAGGTAAAGGGTTTATATATAGGGGCTGCTCTGAGCTGTGTAAATTTTTCCCCTTCCCCTTATTTCAATCCTGTTCCTGAGAGGTGTGAGCCCTGGACTGGGGCACGAGCCCTTGGCTTGGGGTCAGCCCCACTGCGATCACTGAGGGCCCAAGGGGGGGATTGGGCCTCCCCACCGCTCCCATCTCCTTTTGGCCACCCCAGAGGCCTTTCCCTTATTTCCCAGCCTTTGGAGGACAAAGGAACAAGGCAGAGAGAAACAAAGAGATTCCCACAAGCCTGGAAAGCAGCAAAACGAGGGAGAGAAGAGACACAAAAACAGAGCTGCCCGAGGAAATGGTCACCCAGGTGAGAGCTGACCGATGACAAGAGGCCCCAGGCTTGACAGCCAGGGACACCACGGGGTGGGAGCAGGGCCAGGCCGCGGTGCCTCTGGCTGCTGGGTGGTTGCGGAGGAAGGGCAGGGCTTTGCTGGGCAAGACACATCCCCTGCCCTGGAGCTAAGGGAGGACAGCCACTTGCAAGGTCCGAGAGAGGCCTATCCTTTCCCAGAACTGTGTAATGGGCTAAAAAGGAGGTGCTGCTCAGGGCCCCCGGCCTAGGCTAGCGCGGGAGCACCCAGCGCGGCAGCCCTCGCAGTTCACCACCAGCACCGAGGGGATGTTACGTGCCTGCGGGCTGCCCGTGGCCCTGCACCACTGCACCTGGTGGTCCCAGCACGGCGCTCGCAGCAGCTCCACAGGCCCAGGGCCTGGGCGCAGCCCATGCAGCACTGCCGGGGCAAGGCCTGGGGAGCAAGGTCTGTGGCTGCTGGCGCTTCGTGAGCCTCCTCTTGGGCCTTTACTTCGCCTCTTGGCCTTAGTAAATGGAGGTCATGCAGAGACCTGACGATGACCGGAGAAGACCAGAGGGAGACAGAAGGGCTCTCTTGGATCCTCTGTCTTTGAAGCTCAGCCATTATCCCTGCAGTTTGTATTCTGTAAAACTTGGTATATTTCTGTGCAAGAAGATATTTATTAAAAAACCCTCACTGTCTGGGTGGCGTGGGGTGCCTCTTTTCTGGGCTCCTGGGACTGGGGATGTCTCCTGGGCTTAGCTGGGCTGGTGTTTTGTGTGGGTGCCGGGCTGCAGCTCCGCTGTGGGCTGGAGGCTGCAGGTCCCAAAGGCAGCTGCAGGTGACGACACCCGTACAGCTGCAGTGCAGTGAACTGCAAGAGGGGTCCAGCTGTGGACCTGCGTGTGCCAAACAAAGGTCGAACGAAGCCTCCAGGGCCCCCATCCAAGAGGAGCGTCCCAGGCATGTGGTGAGAGTTGGGAGGCCATTGGGAATTGTGAGCCCTGACCGGTAAATGAGGTGTGGACGCATTTCCTAAAGTCTTTGCAGGGATTTGGGTGCCCAAGTTGTGGTTGATGTACCCCTTATATGCTCCTAAGCCTCTTCAATAATCCCCTTTAAATAGCAAGACTAGGGCAGTGTGGGATTTATTTAAAGCTCTTTCAAAATCGGATTTCATGGTCAGGCCTTGGACTCCGTCCCCATTCAGAAGTGTTTAAAACTGTTGTTCATCCCAAGCGGATCATTTATTGCCACAGACTCCCCGAAAGGCTGCCGAGCTTAGCTGTGGCTCGGCTCTGCGCCTGCACGGCTGCAGCCTGCCCTCCCTCCTGCCGGCACGGAGCTGGGCTCCTGCGTCCCTGCCGCTGCAAACTTTTGTGATCGCCTTTGTGATCGGGGCAGGAGAGGGCCCTGGTGAAACGTGTGGCTCCTCGCTCTTGCTGTCCCATCTCTCCTCTTGCAGGCTAGTCTCTTGGCTGCCAGTGTGGCATGTGCGCAGCTCATACCTCCCTGGTTGATCCTGTGGGATCACAAATGCATGGAGATGCCTCGCAGAGGTGAGAGGCTCCCTGGGGACCACACAGCAGGAGCTGCAGCTCTGGAGGTGCCACCTCCACACAGACTTTTGGACAGTGCCCGCTGTCCTTGTGCTGTGTGTGCAAGCCCCAGCACAAAGCAGCCCTTGTGCACAGCCACAGCCTGCACAGTGTTTTGCTACAAACAATAATGTCCCTCTGTGGAAAAGGAGAGAAAAGCTCCTAGGACTGGCAGGAGAGCCTCATCCTGGAGGCCTTCCAGGAGAGCGCATGGCCTGCTGCTTGCAGCACGCCTCCGATTTCTATTTCTGGCGTTACTGCGTGTCCGTGGCCTGAGACAAGCCAGGAGCCCCGGGAGGCAAAAGCTGCCGGTGCTCAGTGTGAAGCGCTCGGAGGCCGCGCGGTCGCAGAGCCACCAGGGCCAGGCCCCGTGCGCCTCGCCACCGGAGCCAGGGGAAGGTGCCCAGGGTCTGGCTCAGACCAGCTCAGCGGGTGTCTGGCTGCCCAGGGAAGGGGCTGCGCTCATTAGTGCCTGCCGCGGCTCGTTAATCAGCCTGGCTGTGTCTTTAAGCATGTCCAGGCGGGCTGCCAGGATGGGAGGGCTTGGGCCCGGCTGACATCACCTCCCAGCTGGCTGCACGGGGCAGGAAGAGCAGTTGTTTACAGGTTAGTTAAGTTGTCTTAAATGGGAAAAAAAAAATGTAAGTGCCCTCCCTGCCCCTTGCAATTTGGCAAGCTGCTGGGTACAGGGCCCTGGGCTGGCTCCGGCTGCAGAGCAGGGAGTGCTCAGCAGCTCCCGCAGCCCGTGCTGGGACTCCTGGCTATGCCGGCTGCCACAGGGGCCGGGCCTGCTGAGGAGCATGTCCAGGCAGGACAGGGCAGAGCACAGCGCCGGCAGGAGCATCCTTGGGGCTGCGAGCGCTTGAGGGGCTTCCTTCCTGCGGGATCCTGCGGGGCCTGTGGCTCCCCAGCCTGGGCTGCGCTCCGTGGGGAGCGAGGAGGAGGAGGAGCAAGGCTCCGGCTCTGAGGCAGTGGTCCCGGGAGGCAGGGGTACGACACCGGCCCGGGCTGGCAGATGGGTTGTATGGGGACGCCCCGGCTAGTGGGAAAGTCTGACATTTCCCCTGGGTAGGTTTTCCTGGCTTTCCTGCTCACAGAGGCTTAACAAGCCGGAAATTCCCTGCTGCTCCAAATGCAAAGAGAATGGCAAGGATCCGAGCCTCAGAGTCTGGCTCCTGCTGACGTGAGGGGGATTGCTTGGCAGTAAATAGAAAAGCCCTAAAGAAAGTTAAAGGAGGAAATCCAGCCATTTAAGCCTTTTGTTCTCATGGATTTTGACAGCTGAATTTTATTTTTGTCTTAATAGCTTAGTCTTCTCATAGTCTGCTTCCCTCTGCCTTCCCATCCCTGTGCTCTTTGGTTGCTGCAGCAGTTTTATATGCAATTAGAAAATGAATGGATCTTCCATCTCTGGATTTATTATTATTAATATATGCTGATTTCACAGAAAGCAGGACATGAAAACAATGTGGGTGTTTGTTCCTCTAAAGCAACAGAAATGTGTGTGGGGGGGGGGGGTTGGGGGAGAAACAACACTTGGCTGCAGTCTTTATAGTGCCTGGCTGGAGGCTGTGGAGCTGAAGGCCTCATGTGTGTTCCCCCTGCGGGTCTGGCACGGCTCCGGGACAGTCATGGGACTTGCTGACCCCCCTCCCAGATAGAGTCCCTGCAAAAATCCTCTTTTCTTGCAGTTTTGGGGCTGTGGGTGGGCAGACATGCGTGAAGACATGCCGGGCCCTGACAAGGGTTGTGGGGTGGCCTGTGCAGAAGGAGTGGGGCAACCAGGGACAGTCCTGCGAGCCTGGGGGCTGCAACATTCGCAGTGTCCCTGTTGCTGGTTTCTGCAAACCTATTTTGCAGAAATGGACTCTCATTTACATGTAGCTGGAAGCAGGAGATTGCTACAGCTGATGCTGGGTGAGCTTCCTTCTCTTTAATTAAAAAGTTTTTAATGAAGGAGGAGGAAGGAGCAAAGTGAGACAGGTAATTACTGGAGGTGCTCATCACTGTGGACACTGTCTCTTGCCTCTGCTTGGCCACAGTGGATTCCCAGAGCCAGATCTGCTGGTCTGTGGGACTAGCGTGGTTGGGGCAGGATGCTGGTAAGGACAACCTGAGTGAGTTAATAGCTTGCTGCTGTTAAGGACACATCCTGCTCTGGTGCTTGCTGACCCATGCAGAGCTGCTCAAATTCAGCAACCTGGCTCAAAAGCAACCAGCCAGCTAGGTGCTAGGGAAGGGCTGAAACAGCTCAGCTCTAGTGTGGAACAGGGAAAGGGCTGTTTGCATCTCCCTGGGCTTTGGGTTTAGCTGCCTGGTCCTGTCATGCTCAGGAAGCCTCTTCTGCTGGAGAGCATGGCTGGGTAGAAGGGAGGGAGCTGAGAGGGTCTGCAACACCCTGTGAGCCATCACTGAAGGTGGCACGGGCGGCCCTTGCAGTTGGAGCCAGCCTGGTGGGCTGGAAATTGGAGACCTGGTGCTAAAAGTAGACAAGGTGGTGATGAAAGCAGGCAGGGCCCCTGCATGCTCATGCTTGCTGAGCTCCACTTGTATTTCCTCCTTGAGCTTTAGAGAGCAAACCTCTGCTGCCCAAGGCTGTGAAGAAACAGTGAAGATTTGGACCTAGTAGCAAAGTGAGACCTTTCTGGGCATAGTGAGAGCTGAGGAAGGCAGCGGGGAGGGCCGAGGAGCCTTGTGTGCGTGCAGCTTGTCTGGGCACTGGGGACCTGCTTTTCCTTGAAAGCTTCTGAACACAAAAATAAGGCTTCTTTCAACCCTGTATTTTAGAAATGATTTTTTTTTCTTTTTTTTTCATGAGTGTACAGTGTACTTTTCCCACAGGTGTGCTGATCTGTTGCCCTTTACTCATTATTAACTGAGCTGTTCAGTGCCAAACGCTTAGGTGGTTTTCAGCCTGCCTGGGAACACCTGCCCCTGCCCTGCTTTGGGCATCCCAGGACACTCCACTCTGGGACACCTCCTCCTGGTGTCCATCTTTTCACCCTGTTTCTCTTGGGATTTTAACTGCCTTGTAATGTTTATGTAGTCTGTGCAGATGCCAGGTGTTTGGTGTCACTGTCTTTCAGCTTTTTTCTTCCTGCGTATGAAATCCTAGGCTGCCCAAGTGATCAAGGGAAAACAAAACTATGTGGCCGTTCTGGGGCCTGGAACTGAACCGAGCCCGCTGTGACCTGCTCTTCACAGAAGCCATCAATCAAAGCATGCAAGTACCCAACAGGCTGAAGGTAGCAGAAAGCTTCAGCCCTGTCGAGGAGGAGCCAGTGACACAAGATGTCCCTCCTTCCTTTCGGATGCACATCCCAGATAGGATTTCCCTTGCAGGTAATGTCTCGGGTTGTTTTTTGGATGAGGGTTGATGGGTCTCTGTAACAGCTTAGGGAGAAGGATCCCTTTATAAATCTCTCAACATTTTGCTTTGCAAGAGGAGAGGAAAAGGCAGATGTCAGCTTTCTTCCACAAGATAAGGCAGCATGGTCAGAGAGGTGGGCAAATACAACCAACAGAAGGCAGGATGGGTCTTATTCCTGATGGTGAGGACCAAAATGTCCTGGAAAAGAGGTGGTTAAGTGAACAGACATGTTTTAGTGCATGCCTGAGGCAGGATATCTTTGCAGGTAGCAAGGCACTGAGGAGACTGAGAACAGTGGGAGGGTTGGAGTGAGGGTTTGGGAGGGAGAAATCGGTCCCCCCACATCTCTTACAGCTTCCTCCTGCTTTTGGTAGAGTCCCCACTCGGGGATGCAGAGAGTCATGGCTCTTCTTGAAAGACAGCCCCCAAACTTGTTGCTTTCCTGGAGCAGTGCATCCTCCATACCTGCCCTGCTCATCCTGCATCCCACATGTGCGGAAAATGTTCTTCTGATGTATTTTTAGTAACTTTAGACACAGGGTTGGCTGTCCTGCACACCTCCATCCTGCCCTGAGGGCAAAGTTGGTTTAATTCTTCCTTTTCTCCTCTCTGTAGACATGACGGATGCTGCTCTGAGGCCCATCCTGCTAGACCAGCAAAGGAAGGTCCCCTCTATTGTGGTGCACGAGTCCCCAGACTCCTCCGTGCACTCCGCTGCGCTTGGGGAGTTCCCTTTTCTGCACGTAGCCACCAGATCAAGCTCCCAGAAGCGCAAACGATCGGTACGGTGTTGAGAGCAGAAGGGATTGCCCATGGGAGAGTGGGAGGGGAGCAAGGCCTAAGTTTGGTTTACTCCAGAGGTCTGTTATGAGCCAAAGCCTGAATTCATTTTTCTGGAGTGCTACTTCCTACATCCTTATCCAGGAGCTCAAGTGCAGAGGCAGTGAGATCTCCTATCCCCACATACCTGTGTGCTAGGCTGCTGTAGGCTGGGACATGCACTGAGCCAGGGCTCTCAATGCTTTTTGTGAGCAGGAAATAGGCTGGAGAAGGTGCAGACCATGATTCAGTCCCCCACAGCTCCCGCCTGGTACTTTTGATGTCCCTTTTAAACCACTTTTTCTCCTGGATTAAGTATAAGCAGCTGTTTCATTACTGCAGCATAAAAGAACATGATATCAAGTTTAAAAGCAGATTTTAACCCTGTATATATATATATCAATTCAAAGAGAGGCCTCTGACATGGGTAGGGCTGTTTTGGCTGCCTGGACCTGCTGAGCTGACTTCCGAAGTGCTTTTACCTCCCAAGATTCAAGAGCCTTTCCAGCTGCATTAGTTTCATGTGTTTCTCCTCAGAATCTACCTTCTCAGCTGCAATTTCAAGTTCCCCTTCCCTGGCACTACACAGCTCCTAGCTGTGGGCGAAACTAGAGGGAACCACCACAAGGACAGGCGGAGATTAAGCAGTCCTGCTTGGAGAGGCACTGCTGAGGGTGAGGGCTTGGGGCTGTCCCAGAGCCTGGGACATGGCTGTGCCATGAGCCCCAGCCCCAGGACACACGCGTCAGGACTCGTGCAATGCAACCGTCACCGAGCGCGTTCCTCACGCGCACAGCGCTGCTTGCCCTGCAGGCAGTGCAGGATGCTGGGCTGAGCTGCCCTGTGCGATCTCCGCGCTGATGTGGTTGTGCTTGATGCCAACAGGGCCATCACAGCAGCAGGTCGCGACGGGAGAGAGCTTCAAGTGACTGTGCCCACCTGGCTCTGCACAGCCCGGGCCAGCGCCATGAGCGGTGAGCACTAACCCAGAGGTGTTTGGGAGGGTGGGGATCAGCATCTCTTGCCACCTGCATTTCTTCGATGTGTCCCCAGGGTGGGACGACGTAGTGACAAGCAAACCTCGCTCTTGTGAGGCTAAGGGGAAACTGAAGAAATTCTCTCCAGTGGGGAAACTATCCCTAAATCAACCCTAGAACAGAACCATCTTTCCCCCTGTAAGTCAAGGGTTGTGTCAAGGTGGCAGGGGAGCTGTTCTCAGTGACCCTTATGGTCTGATGATCTCCCACTGCCAGACCTGGCTTGGGATGAGTCAAGCCAGTGCCTCTAAACCTGTGGGCTGGTGGAGGGGGTTCCTCCTGCCCAGGCTGTGTGGGTGGCCTGCTCACAATCAGTGTTCCTGGCAAGGCTTGGAGCTGTTGCGAGGATGAAGGGCGCCACCAAATGTCCAAGTGTTCTAGTGCTGTACTAGCCTGGGAGATGACAGGCATGATTCTGTGTGCACCCCAGGCTGGACACGTGCCCCCTACCCGCTCACAGCGCCTCGCGCCCCCTCCTCATGCAGACGGACAGGATCTACTCTGTGCAGAACATCTTCCAGACCATGTACCTCCTGGGTCAGGTGCTCTTCCACCGTGTCCAGAACTCTCTGCAAGACCCAGTGCCATCCAGGTGACTTTGGCTCGTCCTGAGCCACCTCCCTGTCACTCCACAGGCATCTGCCTGTGCCTTACTAAGGTGTGAACCAGGCATGAGCTTTGCAGCTTGCAGGGATGCACAGTACAGGAGAAGTGCAGCAGGATGGTCCTGTGCAGCCTGTCATTCTCTCTATGCCCCACTTAGCCTGTCTGCCAGCTTCGGGTGCCTGGGTCTCGGAGTATCTGGTGCAGTTAGCCCGCAGATTCTCGTCTAACACAACAGAGCTTGAGTCTCCTGCTTAGCTTAATACCGGCCCTGTGGTTACTTCAGGTGATCTAACATCTTTTATGAGAGTCCTGGGATTTTGGCTGCTCTTCTTTGCTAAGCAAATACTACATTTTTTTTTCCCATGCATGCTTTGATAACTTGATGGTGAGAAATGTTTGAAGGCAATCAAAATCCAGAACAAACTGCCTGATATGGGGCCTGTTACCAGGCACTGTCTCCCACAAACTCCCAGCACCCCTGACTATCTCCTAGTCAAATTACTTTTCGCAAGAACCAGTTACATTGAGTTACTTAATGCACAACCAAAACCTATGGCCTAGATCTCCCAGGAGGCAGGAGAGATGTGTGCTCCATGGATCAGCTAGACAGTGACCTCAGCATCTTGGGACGTGTTGGAGCCACTCTGTACCATGTTGTTATCTGCACATTTGCAGCAAGTTTAAAATATTCACAGCTGCCTTTGCAGCCCTCACATATCTGCACTGCTGTGAGGCTGCTGAGTACTCTGCAGTCCTGGAAGAATGTCTCAATTCTTTTAATTCTCCTTGAGAAAAATCTCTAGACAGAAAGGGAGGAGAGAGGCACATGTACATAATCTGTGCCATCAGTGTCATGTTGCATCTTCCCTCACCAGCTGGAGTGAAGGTGCAAGCAGCAAAGTCGGGGCCTATTTGGATGATGCAAAGCAATATCTCTACCTTCAAACCCACCAGGCTGGCTGTCTTCAGAAGCAGCTTTTTAAAGAAATCAGGGCATGCCAACCGATCTGTTTTGGTAGTGGCCATGTAAGATCCTCTCCCTCCTCCCCTCTGCAGTAGAGGAGTTTTAGGCCATGGTGTTGTGATAGGGGGGAATTGCTGAGCTGGTGTAATGTAACTGGCATCAGCCCTGTGGCTCTGCCATGGGTCTTGGTCTCCCTTTGAAACCAAGAACCTAGGAGTGCCTGTTCTTGATGGTTTGCATCACTTTAAGTGCATAAGTTGTCACGCATTAAAGGGACAACTTTGTACCCCCACATGGTAATAAAAATAAAAAATGGGCTGACCCAACTTGTTTGTCCTGAAATTTTAATAAAGAAAAGTCTGGCCTTGGATGGAGGCTGGAGTGTTTCCATTACAATGTCCTCTTGAAGGGTATGAGTCATCAGAAGGTAATTTCTAGCCTCTACTATAAAACGTTTTCCCCTGTATCAACTGGGATTTTTCAATTGAAAGTTGTGGGATGTGTACATCTTCAATGTCTTTGTGCTGGGGAAAATTGGATATTCAGACTATCATGACTTTCATTTTACAGTGTGGCTATATCATGCAGAGGTATTGGCTTGCAAATGTATTTTCAGATCTAGATACCTTGAATCTCTGCACACTGTTCTGGCTTGTCTTCAGCAAGATGAATGCCATGTTGCAAATGGGAATAAATACCCTTCTCCCTGAAGTCTCCACAAGAGCAGTGTTAGACGCTCGTTCACGCATGATATGTCAGACAGTCAGCGAGTGTCCGTGGGAGTTAGCAGGGTGCAGAGGGGAATTTGGGATTATAAATGAACTGTTGCAAGGCTAGTTGGTGTTAGGGACTACAGAACATGGCAATTTTGATTTCCATCCATTGATCCATATCTGTTTTACTCTGTGGCCACTCTAAGACACAGTAGGTAGTGCTGTGGGCCCTGTAGCCAGGATGTATCTCCAAGAGGAGCCTGTTGGCTAATCCCAGGGGTGGCTGCTTTGTCTGCAGGGATAGAAGAAACTGGTGCATACTTGAGTTGCTTGCTTATGTTTCAAGTGGCAAGTAAAATTTGCTATAAGGACAAAAACGTCCACGTTTTGTGAGGTCAAAGTGAGCTGGTGGGATTTGGAGGTCATGCAGGGGAACAAATCCTTATCCAAGTAAAAACAGGATCTTTTACTGCTGGCTGATGCGCTTGCTCAGATAGTTCCCCCAGCTGATGCCTGCTCTCAGCAGCTGGATCCTCACCTGCTGAGGTAAATGAGAATCATCCTCCAACTGCAGCATTGGTTCTGTGATCTGTTTTTTTGCCTGAGTTGCTCTAATGATGATTTATCCAACCCCAGTGAATTCCTCTGGCTATAGAAAATGGATGCTGGGTAAATATTGTGCTTTCTCTCTGTCAGAACTCTGAAGAAATAAAAACATGTGAAGCATGTGCTTTTTTTGTTATTTTTAATGGTCTGCTGCATGTGTGTGTGCTGTGCTCACTATGGGGTAGATGCTGGAGGGGTCTAAAAATGCATGATGGCAGTTAAGATAAATCATTCAACATGTGCATCATGTGCAAATGCTGCTTCCTGCTCTCAGTGCTATGTCCGGGTGGCATGGCCTGGCCACCCGCATGCTACGTGCATGGCTGAGCATGCTGGCTCCTGTGCTTCCATGGACAGGGCCACGTGTGCAAGAAGGTGACTGCACCTGTGAGCAGTGTTTGCCCATTTGCCTCTCTGTTTTTCTCCCCAGCTCCCCGGAGACAGGTGCGGCCGCAGATTGCTCCCTGGAGGAGGTTGGCACGGCTGAGGTGGCAGCAATGAGAAAACAGGTAAGAGAGGAGGGTGAAAGATTGCAAATATTTTCTGGGAGAACCATAGGAGGGTAGATGGGGACTTTGCTAAGTTAGTCCCAAATGCTTCTAAGGGAAAATATAGGTAAAGACCTAGATATCTGTTGGTCCTTCAGGCTTGTATACTGAGGGGCTGTAGGGCTATAGGAGACAGTCAGGTTCTCCACCTGCCTACAGTAATGGTTCTGGAATGGCATCAGAAAAGTCATTTCCTGAAGCACCTGCTCTTGAGGACCCAAAGAAGGTGGCAGTTCCCATCCCTTCATCCATTGCTATCCAGCATTTCTGGTGCTTTGCTAGTGCCTTGCACGTTTTCCCAGGACTAGTAGTGGATCTGTTGCTTTCCTTGCAGTTGCTGAGGATCTCAGGGAGGCTCCGAGTGCTGGAGGAGCAGTGCAACAGCCGGCGTCAGAAGGAGACTCTGGTCTATTCCTTGCTGATCTCTGCCTGCCTCATCAACACGTGGCTCTGGCTGAGGAGATGAAGACTGTGCCTTGACTTTCCCTCCGGAACCTGGCAGGGTGGGTGAAGGCAGAGACAGAATCCTTCCTCAAATACTTGTGAACAGTAAAACTATGTGTTTTTCCCCTTAACTTGATCAGTTTTTGGCACTGTAGGCCCTTGAGGATTTGTGTTCCTTAGGCCCTAAATACAGTGAGAATGGATCCTTCTCTTATACTCTAGCATCAGAGGCAGCTGAGGTGAAAAGGATGAATCTGGACCTTGTGCCAGAGCACCTGGAGATAGGAATTAGGGAAGGGTGGTGAATGAGTATGGCCCAACAGGGATAGTTCCAGGGTGTGAGCTATGACTGAAAATGCTTGTAAACCCTAGCAATCATGTTGCCTGTTTGATGGAATCAATCCTTGTCTGAGAAGATGCTGTGAAGGTATCATAAAAAATAGGTGGTGATGCAGTAAGTGTCTGTAGTGCATGGAGAAATGAGATACGCTCTACCCCTTAGGCTGTCTGCCACAGAAGATGCAAAACTAAGGTGCTGAGTGTGTGTGGACATCAGATCGTGTTATGGTTTTGGACAGCAGTGGACCTGGCCACCTTTTCAGGATCTCATCATCCCATCTTGGACAACTCAGTCCTGACTCCAAAAATTCCTGGCCAATTGCTGCAGCCTCTTCCTCATCTTTATCCCCAAAGCTTGTACAAAGTAGTGCATTTTTATATTGCTGATAGATTTTATTTTCTTCCTTGAGCAACTGCTCTTAAGTGTATGTAGTACTGCTAATTCTCCTATGCCAAGATAGCCCGTGCTTTAGGATGACTGAATTTGGTAGAGCTGGGAGCTCCCATCCCTTCAGCTGCTGCTGTGCCACCATCTTCTTGGCTCCCGTCCTGTTGGATGCAGTTCAGCAAAGGGTTTGCAAACGTTGAGATCCAAAGTGACTCTAAGAGCAAGGTCTGGGCTTATTCAGGAGTCTGGCTATTTCTCAGTAAGATTTAAACAAAAAAACTCCCCATGGTGATTCTTTGGATAATAAGATCTCATAACAACATTAATAGCACCAGACAGGCTGTCGAAAATTGCCTGCTTGGGCAGCAATATAAATTTATTAGGTTGCCAATGCTGGAGGCCAAGATCGCTCCCAGAGTGGCTGCCAAACTGTAACAATGGCACAATGATGCAGGTGGGGGAAATTATTGACCCAAGTGTTCTTTAGCTAGTGACCAGCCCAATTCAACAGCTTTGCTATTTATTTGCTCCCTTGGAATTAACCCACTTGGATCTGCAGTGGACTTTGCCCCCTGGGTCCCACATGCCTGGCTGGACCAGCTCAGCAGCAGTCACGTTTCCTCCACAACCTCCCCATCAGAGTGGGTTTGGGTGGGTGAGAACTGGCATTGTTGATACTATCCCCAAACCACAAGCTCTTTAGAGACCTGCATGAAGGCAAGGCCCATACTCACCCTGGAGATGTAAAGGGACAAGGTAGGACTGGAGGACAGGAACCGACACATGGAAAATGATGTGCCTGGAGACCAAGGGGTGCTTTACGCCTACATTGGGAGGTGATGCTTCAGATTCAAGGCAGTGAGGTGACTATGAAATGCTTTTGGTGCTTTGTCCAGCACATCTGCTGGAGTTGTGCCTGCAGGCTTGGGGTCAGATCTTGGCAATGCTTTAACAGGACCATTTTGTTCCACCTGTAAATGATTATACTGGAACAGCAGGACATCCAGATATCCTAATTGTTTATTTACAGACATGGATACTTAAGTATTTTCTGCCTGCAGCTGCATCTGCTGTTTGGGCCTGTAAATCTGGCAGCCAGACATTTACTAATAAATAACTGCTCCACAAGTAATTGCAGGTCTGAACCTGTGGCCAGTATCTGAGCTGAGGAGAGAGGTAAGATTTATTGCGGAGGAGAGCCAAGATCTGGTGGTCGGGCTGGCTCAGGGTGTACATGAGGGTATGTGAGCGCTGCTGCCGACTAGGTTCCCATGGCTCATGGCTAAGGAAGGGATGCAGTCAGGGTTACTAGGGGCCCTCTTGCAAATTCATACACAAATTCTGCCTGCTCCTCTTCTGGGGTGTGATTTGCTGGGCTTATATTCTGACTCACTGGGTTTTCTGGAGGGGCAGGAGAGGGCAATAGTCCATTTTGCCACATCTTCTTCTTTCTTTGTACATATGATTTGAAGAGGGAGTTGCCACAGCCTCTCGGAGAGTCTTGCCAGGAAAACTCATTGTTTGGGAAGTACTTATTTGTCTGGTTCCTCTTTTCTGAGAACTGAAAATGTGCTCTTGAAGAAATGTGTTTGTTTATTTTTTCCCCCAAAACTGCAGTCTAAGGTGAGAAGGGCTGACCTTTTGGGGACACAACACCTTCAAAATGTGCACTGAAGACATTTGGAGGGGAGGTGACCCAACCCTCATGTGTTCTTGATGGCTAATTATTGACAGGTTGTGGAAGATGCAATATGGCTTTTCCATAAGGCATGGTTCCTGGTGTAATTCTGGAAATGCTGATCTGTAAAATATGTGTTTGAATAAACTCAATGTCTCTGGACAAGTCTCTTCCACCAAGAGCTGGACCTGGATCTAGTTATCTTCATGGATGACAATGGGTAAGATTTGTTCCCTTGGCAGCAGGAGGGTGCTGTGTGTGTATTGGATGTTGGCTCCTGGCCTCTATAGAGCCCCAGGCCACTTGGCCTGCTGGTGTAAAACAGGAATGCTGGCTGCCAGGGGAAGATGGAGGAGGAGAGTTCCTGGTTGATGCTGCCACTTTGGCCTGTCTTTGGGGCAAGCTGTGGAGATCTCGAGCTTCCTGGTTTATAAGTAACAACTCCTGGAGCAGCTGGTTTGGTCCTGCTGCCCTCTTGCAGGGATCCTTCGTGTGTGGGAGGTTGGGGTGCAGGAGCTGGGCACTGGGCTGCATTCAGCAATGAGGAAGGAGCGCCTGGGAGGGCTGCCAGCCTGCCCATGTCCTCAACATGTGCAGGAAGATTGAGGAGGGCAGCAGGACCCGTCGGCTCCTCTCTGTGGCCTCTCCTGCTGCAGCGACCTTGCTCTCGCTTCCTGGAGGTGGGATGCTTTTATTTATTCCCTCTCTCCCCTACCTCCTCTTGCTGGCTGCCTGCTGTGCCAGGGCAGGCCCATGTGACAGCCTGGGGTGTCCCCTCAGGCCACTGCCACAACAAAACGCATCAAGTGTGTTGTGAAACGCAGTGCTCAAGGGAGCTGCTCCACCTGGTGAAGATGTGTAGGGACCCAATGAGCTTGGTGAAAGAGAGCAAATTTCTTGATGTCCTTCTGAGTGCTCAACCTTAAGGCTTCCTGCTTTCCAGTTTTTTAGGGAGATCAGAAGAGGTGGAAATTACAGCTTTAAAGGGTGGGATAAAAAAAAAGAGCTGCTGATAGTCAAGGGACTCTGGATTCTGGTGCTTCCAGCGCAGCCCTGCACACCATGCGACACGCATGGCAGGGGCTGCTTTAGCCTGGGCCACAGCAAAGGGTTGGATGCTGTTCAAAAGAATTGGGGAAATGAGGAAACTTTTACTCCCTTTCTTGCATGCTTCAGGAATACACATATTCTGTCAACTGTTAATTAGAGCTGCTTTATGAAAAACTAAGAGAGTAGAAATTGGTGAAAGCCGTTTTTTTGTGATAATTCCCAAACTTGGCAGCTCTTTTCTCTGGGAATCCAGAGCAGCGCGCTTGGCCTCCCACTCCACGAGTGTGTGAAGAAGGATGGAGTTACAGCCCGGACCCATGCGGGTTCCTGAGCGCAGCAGCAGCGCTCCCCGAGGGGAAGGGAGAGGTGAGAGGCAGCACATGAAGCAGGGGAGCGGTGGGGCACCCCCAGCACCATGTTTCCCTCCTCCCCCTTGGTCCCTGGGCACCGAGGTGGTGTGATGGGCTCCTCCACAGGCAGGATCGTACGTGCTGCTGCGGGGAGGTACCGCACGGCCTCCTCCACAGGCAGGGCCCCACGTGCTGCTGTGGGGAGGTACCGCACAGCACCTGCTCCTCCTGGACACCGCAGGGGCCCCGGTGCTGCCACCTCCCTGAGGCTGCAGAGCGGGCAGGATGGCTCCACTTTCCTCCTTGGGTTTGTTCTGCAGGTCAACATGTGTGCTTGAAAGTGCCTGTTTGGGGGGCCTCTGGATAGGGATGGTCTCCCTCGTGGCCAGCGGAGCCCGCACTGGGCAGCAGCAAAGCCGCTGAGGGCAGCACAGCTCTGCCTCACACTGGGGTCAGTGACGTCTTGTGTCTGAAGACCGCTGGACTGCACCACAGGGACGCCAGGCTTGTAAGTGAAGGGCAGCTGCTTCCCCGCGTGGTTACTGCAGTGCCGGCTCTTCCTGCCCCAGTGAGGCAGCTCTCCCTGCTGGGCTGGGGTATGCCCGGGTTGTAGGTCGATCGCGTGCGTGTTCAACTGAGCACAGGGGGGGTATGTCTCTGTGTGCCCAGCCTCACACAAGCACAGGAGGGCTGAGGCTGGAGGGGACCTCTGGAGATCCCCTACTCCAACCCCCAGCTCAAGCAGGGTCACCTAGAGCACGTTGCCCAGGATTGTGTCCAGGTGGGTTTTGAATATCGCCAGAGAAGGAGACACCACAACCCCTCTGGAGAACCCCAGCGTGGTCTCTGCTGGAAAGGTTTATACAGCGCTGCCTATGCACATGCCCTTGACCAAGGGACATGTCCCTTACCCAAGGGACGCGCCATGCCACTCCCCGAGGGCATGTCCCCCAAGCATCCATTCCCTGTCTTGTCCATCTGTCCCTCACTGTTCGGGTTTGGAGGACTTACCGTGCCCAAAGTGTGCGACAGGACTGTCAGAAAGGGGCACGCGGACCCCCCTGAGCATTTGCCCATGTGTCTTTGAGTGCCAGCTCTGTGTTTTGGTGAGGTGCCTTTGCATGTTGTGCCCGCTCACTAGTGTGGCTTGCCCAATCTTGCATTCACTGTGCTGGCCTGGGCAGGGCCTTCCTGGGGCCTTTCCTTCCTTCCCTGCTGGGACTTTGCTTTCTAAAGCGAGGGACTGTTTCTCCGGC